GTGAGATGGACACGAGGAACATCAAAGAGTGATCTGTGCCTTGTGTTATGGTCATGTGTTCTGTTGAGGTTGGCAAGGAGATGTTTGAGGGGAGGGTTAATATCAGAGTTAAGTGTTCTATGTATGTAATAGGTGCAGTAATAAGTATGGATGTTTTGTATGGTGAGTAGGTTTAGTGTATTGAATATTGGTGGAGTGTGCTGCCTGTAGTGAGAATTTGTTATCATTCTAACTGCAGCCTTTTGTTGGGTAATTAGTGGTCTGAGATGGTTAATTGTTGTTGAGCCCCATGCACAAATTCCATAGGTGAGATAGGGGTAAATAAGAGAGTGATATAGGGCCAGGAGGGCTGACTGTGGAACATAGTACCGTATCTTCGATAGTATGCCTACAGTCTTGGAAATTTTCTTAGAAATTTGATGTATATGTGTATGAAATTTGAGTCTATTATCAAGGTGGAGTCCTAAGAATTTTCCCTCTGTTAGTTTTGTGATAGGTGATCCGTTTATCATTATGTTAAGAGGGACATCTGTAGCTCTGTTACCAAACTGAATGAAGTAGGTTTTGTCAATGTTTAGTGTAAGTTTGTTAGTCCTCATCCAGGTAGATATTTTCTGTAATTCGGTATTTACAGTATTGACTAGCGTGACTGGGCTCGGGTGAGAGAAGACGTATGTAGTGTCATCTGCAAATAGTGTGGGTTTGAGTAATTGTAGTCTAAAATGTTTTTTGTGAAAACAATGGTTCAATTATATTCCTGTCAACAATGGATAAAAGGTTCAAAGTGATTGTTGAAGTTATGATGTGGGAATACATAGGTGAGTATGTGTGTACTGAGTATTTAGCATTTAGTCTAGGGTGATTAGGTGGCTTTTGAGAAGATTCTTAAACTGATTTTCAGACTGGGTTACTTTAACCCTTTCAGGGGCCGTCCCGTAGATCTACGGCTTTACGTTCTGGGTTCAAACCGTAGATCTACGTCATGAGCTCAGCTCACTCTGATAAACTGTGAGTGGTACATTTGGGCCTAGATATGAGAGAATACATCCATGTGGTATGTGTGCACCACATAAAACAGATCCTGCAGCACACTGTGTATAATGAGAGAAAAAAAACTGAAACCATGATTTTTCTATTAAAACAGCGACTTTGCAGTGTTTTGTCATGTGTTTTTTATAGTTGTATTTGTGATTTCTTGGTCTCATTTGATAGAATGGAAGACATATTACAGAAATAGAGATGATTTTGATTGGTTTTAGCATTAGAAATGGCTTGAAACTGAGCTCAAAATAGCAGAAATGTTAAATTTTTGCCGATATTCAAGAGTAAACAAACAAACGACCTCACACGTCTAATACACGCCAGCTGGTGGGTCTAATATGCATTCACAAATATGGTGATGATATTTATACAATTATTACAGTATTGCATAACAGTAAATCTTCTATTTTTTGGTGTGAATAAAAATTCATTATGTGAATAAAAAATCAAAATGGAATTTATTTGTAAAGCCTCAAAATGTAACTAATGAACAGAGGAAATGTTAGTTTAGTTCCAGGAATACCTACATTGTTTATTCTGGACCCTATTTTGAAATTGGAATATTTTGAACTTTGTGTTAAATTGGCCAAATTAACAATTTCCGATCACTTTAATTTGTAGTTGAAACAGTTGACTTGGTGATTTCTTGTGCTCAATCGATAGAATAGAAGTAATACTAGTGAAATAGCTAAGAATTTGGTTGACTGGAATAATGTAATTGGCCTAAAATGGGAGTCAAAGTCGGCAAAATCGCCGATTCGTAAATATCGCTGACACATCAAAATTTGCGAGAGCATAATTTCGTCAATTTTCCATCAAATTTCGTACTTTTTGTTTTATTACCTTCACAAAAAGATTCTTTACCATTTCATAAGAAAAATAACAAATTTTTTTTTTTGAAAATTCTTGGACACTGGTGCACCACTTCAGATTTGGGCCTTGGACTCTGAAGGGGTTAATATCTTCTGGTAATGAATTCCATATTTTAGGGCCCTTTATGTGTATAGAGTTTTTACACAGTGTGATATGGACACGAGGTATACCAAAAAGAGATCTGTATCTTGTGTTGTGGTCATGTGTCCTGTTTAAGTTGGTGAGGAGAAGTTTGAGTGCTTCATACCTAATTTTCCCTCAAGGATAAATATTTTTCATAAATGTGAGACCCTCGGGGGTTGCTGAGTATCTGAGTGCGGGAGAATATTAAAGAGTGGGACCTCAGTTATCATTTAGCCTTTGTGGAGGAAGTGGTGTTATTGAATATTTCCTCTCCAGCATCCATTAGTACTTAGATTTTATTTTTCACCAATTATTTGTGATTGTGGTGTATGGCCTACAGATTATACGTGGTAAACTAACAGAGATAATAACGTTGCTTAAGGCAGGTAAAAAAAAAAATTAGAGAAATTGCCGCTTGTGAGTGTGTGAAAATATGGGCTGTGCAGTAATGGCTAATCATTTCCATGACAGTAGTGGTGTGGAGATTATGGCTATTAAGCAGAGATCAGGTCTGTTAGTCCTAGGGCATCTGAAGTGGAGTGGAGAATGATCCTACATTAACTGCATTTAAGTTGAACTAATTAAATCCCCAATTGCTAGAAAAGTGTAGTGATAGGGCAGTACAGTGCTAGCTGCATAAGTTGGGGTGTTGTAGTTTTAGGGCTGTGTGCAAGCCACTTCTCACTGCTAGGGTAGAGCAAACTGAGTGGTTTGTTTCATAAGAAATATGAGAAATGAGATGAGGAAAAGTGAAAGTCAGTGGTTTGGAGCGATATAGTCACTTTCAGTGTAAAAATGGGGAGTTAGTGATACTGGAAAAGAATGTTTCGATAAATAAAGACTGGTATTCAGAACTTTTAGTAAACCATTTGCCTTAGAGTTTCAAGAGGAAGGGTAATCCTATGAAAAATTAGTTTGATTAACCCATAAAAATTTCATAATTATTTTTTTTTAAACATTTTATGGTGAACATTCTCATTATTCCTTCATCAATACTGTTTATGTAAATTGTGAACAGAGGACCAAATAGTGACCCCTGTGGAACAACACTCGTAACATGTTCCCATTCTGATTTTTTGCCGTAAGTGCAAACTCTGCTGGCAATAAGTCAGCAATACAAACTGGATAACAGGATAAACAGGACTCAAAGAATGACTCTCCCACAGAGGGTCCGTCGTTTTATACATAAAGATGATTACCATCGACCCATGATATTGAGCAACCTCCCTGATGAAGAAGATTGGGTAGCACCAGAACCCTTCTATGTATACTGAGAAAATCATCGCTCCCAATTAGGGAGACATCTTATATAACAATCTAATGTAAAAATTATGCTATTTACCATGGCTGGACACCACCTGTAAGAAGCCATTGTCACGTAATTCTATAAACTGGCCAGAAAATTATTGCCTTCATTGTCGCATAAATATCCGTTGTGCAATCGCAAAAAAAAAAAAAAAAGCAATTGCAACTTGTATAATTACTACCAATTTAGAGTCATGTACTTATATATCTGTTATATCTATGTGACTCTGATGGGTTAGTATTATACCCCTTAAAGAATATCTTATCATTTCACATACACTTTTTAAATTACACCAAAGTGGTTGGGCCACTTACCTTTTATATCCTACCTCTCTCCCCCCTCCCACCCTTTTCCAATATTTCCATCCTTACCCATCCTTCTTCCTTACCCATCTTACCAAAGCTCTGGTCATAAGAAGAAAAGGTAAGAACTGGTTTGGAACAAATAGTTGTAGATGAGTGGAACAATCCATCAAGTGGCTCAACTGAAGCTAAAACATGGGAGAGCCTTAAAACCTGGCTGTTATTATTATTGTTATTATTATTATTATTGCATATGAATGGTATACAATACTGACAAGATGAAGAATCAGACAATGGATGGTGAAACGTCTACATATTAAAGATATCCAGATGTTGCACATGTGTCTAGTTATTATTATATTCGTGGGGGAGCACTAAACACACAGGGTTTATACAGTGCCTGGGTTAAAGGAAGAAATTCACATTCGATCCAAGGGAAGGCAGCAAATTAGTATAATTCCTTGGATCAAGAGCCCTTCTGGGTTACACTAGGCTGAACAAGAAAATAACACTGGGGAGTGTTAAACCCATAGGGATTATTCAGCGCCTGTGGAGGGGGGATGGAATGTAAGGCATTTAGGCTTAATTTAGGGAATTGAGCACAAATCCAATTCCCTAGATCAAGAGCCCTTCAGCAGCATCAAAGAACCTTCCTAAAGAAGAGTTAGTCAAGGAGCTGACTATGAGGTGGTATGGGGTGTATAATAAAGATATTAAACTGCTTCTCTTATGTTCGCGTGGTTGTGGCATTGAACAAATGTTCATTATTATGAAGAAATCCAACTTAATACTCTACATCTAGTTCTTAAGTAACATTTAACCCTTACAATTATTATTATTATAATCAAATAAAGCGCTAAACCAACAAGGGTCAGGCAGCAGCTTTATAATTAGTAGCCCCAAAATGCACTGCATAATTACTTTTTGTGCCTACAAATGTACTAATTCATGTAAACTACATTATTTATATTGCATAATAAAATAAAAGGAATGTTATTATATATGGTTTAGATTATTGATTAAAAAGAAGCGCTAAACCCATATAAATGGTTTAGAAAACTAACAGAAGAAACTCACAACAACGTTTTGGTCCAAATTGGACCATTACTTACACTGACTAGTTAATAGTAAATTATTATTATTATTAAACTAAGCGCTAAACCCATAAGGGTCATACAGCGGTGAACAGAAATGTCGTCACAAGTTTTATTCTCCCATGTGCGGATTATTTGTAATTGTTTTAGTCACGGTATTGTGACTATTGTTTAATATTATATTGTAATCCAAACTAAGCGCTAAACCTACATGGGTCATAAAGCAGTGTTATAATGTTAATAATAGTGTGGGTGACTGACCTCCCTGGCCTGAGTCTGGCCCACCAGTCCAGCAGCTGATGGTTCTGCTGTACCATCTTCCCTCACTCCCAGACCCTTCACGTGAGAGTGGGCATTAATTCTCTGAGTCTTGGTGGTGCTCTTCACTTCCTCAATCTTCATTTTCATCCACTTCCTTGGACGTGAAGCTCACTAACACCAAGCCTCGTGTCACCTTGTTGTTGTTTGGGTTATAAAGGTCCCACCAGACCTGAGTCGTACTGACACAACCCTTAATACCAACAATTAAGAGGCGCCTGAGTTTTCCTTTATTTATTTTTCATTTGGACATGATAGACATTATTATTATAAACGGGAAGCGCTAAAGCCGTAGGATTATACAGCGTCTGTTGGGGGGAAATGGAAGGTATTCAGGGTTAATTTAGAAAACTGGAGCACAGATCCAGTTTCCTAGATCAAGAGCCCCTCACCAGCATCAAGGAACCTCCCTTGAGGGGACATGATACATAGTTGTACAAAGAAAGTGATTGGGTGTACATGCCAAAATCTCCTTGTATGCAGAGCATTATGGGCAGGCTTAAAATTAACTTAATCTTAACTAATATGTTATTTTTCCACTATAATCTACCTCGTCCATAATTACTATCATATTTGCTTTGTTTTTGTAAGGTGAAGCCCAGGATCTTTCCATAATTCATGGTATAATTTAACAAATCTTTGATGACAATTGCTGTATATTATTATTATAATAATAAAAGAAGCGCTAAGCCACAAGGGCTCTACAGAATTGCTGTATAGTCCTTGTGGCTTAGCGCTTCTTTTTTTTTTTTTTATTATAATAATAATTTGATGACAATTGTGTTGTAGAGGTCTGAACTGTTCTCGCACCTCTACAACAAAATTGTCATCAAATATTTAAGTTATACCATAAATTAAGGAAATATCCTGGACTTCACCTCACAAAAACAAATCAAATATGATAGTAATTATGGACGAGGTAGATTATTGGGAAAAAATAGAATTATTAGAAGACAGGGGAACTGACATGCCCCTTAAGGTGGCAGCTTCCAGCAACTTTCATCTGTCATCATTTTCGGGATTATTATTATAATCAAGGGGGAAGCGCTAAACCCGTAGGATTATACAGCGCCTTGGGGGGATGTGGAAGGCATTCAGGCTTAATTCGGGGAACTTGAGCACGGATTCAATTCCCTAAATCAAGAGCCCCTCACCAACATCAAGGAACCTTCCCTGAGGGGGGTATAATTTTCGGGAATGAGTTATTATAAACATGGGGAGCGCTAAATCCGTAGGGATTATACAGCGCCTGTAAGGGAAGAGAGGGAATTGAAGGTATTCAAGTTCATTTCAGGGAACCGGAGCACAGATCCGATTCCCTAGATCAAGAGCCCCTCACCAGCATCAAGGAACCTCCCTTGAGGGGTCCAGAATGAGTGAATGAATGACAAGTTTATTTAGGCACATGTACACATAAGTACAATTATCATACATATTGTATATTACCACCAGGATAACTCATAAAAAATTAGTGACTTATTTCCATTGGGGTTCTTAAGTTTATTCAGGTACAGGTACACATAAATAGTTACATAAATTATCATACACAGCACCATATGTGTAAATTACCTAGGATAACCCCAAAGAAAGTCTGACAAGTGGCTTGTAGATTACCTAAAATAACCCCAATAAAGTCAAAGTGACTTATTTCCATTAGGATCCTTGTAATAACTTTAATATTAAACAATAAAAAGATATATACTAGGAATAAGGTAAACTGAGTTATTTACATTAACATTAAAGAGAGGATCATATCACAATAATTAGTACATGTATGTTAGCTATACAAGAAATCACTCCTCCCTTTCTGTAATTACATTCATTAGGTATTTTTTGGCTCTCTTCTTGAACTAGTTTGTCCTATAATAGGCTTTGACATGTGCAGGCAGTCTATTCTACTTCTTCACTGCAGTAGAATAAAAAGGTTTTTGAAGCCTGACCACCTACTGTGGGTACTACAAAGTTGTGTTCCCTTCCCCTATTATTATAATTGCTTTGGTTCCCAGCCATGACAAACTTTGACAGCAAGTTATTCTGGACACTGCTCTTATAAACGTGATTTAACTTCAGTTGTTTTACTCTGTCTTTAGCATTCCATCACCAGCTGTCAATGTAACATCCACCACCAGCTGCCAGTGTTACATCATCTCTTTATTACACTCTTAGGATGGAGGGGAATGGTAAACCTGTCAGGGTCATGCACCACTTGGGAAAACAGGCAGTATTCAGGTTCGATCCATGGTTTCACAGCTCAAATTCCTTGGATCAAGAGCTCTCATTGGCATCAGGGACCTCTCTATAGAGTGAACCAAACTCCCCAGCTGCCTCAATTTGCTACCAGAGGTGCTTAACTCCACTATTATATTACTGTTACTTATGCTCTATATGTCAGCCACACCACCGTGTCTTCCTTTGCAGATGACACCCGAATCTGCATGACAGTGTCTTCCACTGCAGACACTGCAAGGTTCCAGGCAGACATAAACCAAATCTTTCAGTGGACTGCAGAAAACAATATGACGTTCAATGATGAGAAATTTCAATTACTCCGATATGGTAAACATGAGGAAATTAAAACCTCATCAGAGTACAAAACAAATTCCTTCCACAAAATAGAGCGAGAAACCAACTTCAAAGACCTGGGAGTGATCATGTCGGAGGGTCTCACCTTCAAGGACCATAACATTGTATCAATCGCATCTGCTAGAAAAATGACAGGATGGATAATGAGAACTTTCAAAACTAGGGATGCCAAGCCCATGATGACACTCTTCAGGTCACTTGTTCTATCTAGGCTAGAATATTGCTGCACACTAACAGCACCTTTCAAGGCAGGTGAAATTGCTGACCTAGAAAATGTACAGAGAACCTTCACAGCACACATAACGGAGATAAAACACCTCAACTGGGAGCGCTTGAAGTTCCTGAACCTGTACTCCCTGGAACACAGGCGGGAGAGATACATAATTATATACACCTGGAAAATCCTAGAGGGACTAGTACCGAACTTGCACACGAAAATCACTCCCAACGAAAGTAAAAGATTCGGCAGATGATGCAACATCCCCCCAATGAAAAGCAGGGGTGTCACTAGCACGTTAAGAGACAATACAGTAAGTGTTAGGGGCCCGAGACTGTTCAACTGCCTCCCAGCATACATAAGGGGGATTACCAATAGACCCCTGGCTGTCTTCAAGCAGGCACTGGACAAGCACCTAAAGTCGGTACCTGACCAGCCGGGCTGTGGCTCGTATGTTGGATTGCGTGCAGCCAGCAGTAACTGCCTGGTTGATCAGGCTCTGATCCACCAGGCCTGGTCACAGACCGAGCCGCAGGGGCGTTGACCCCCGGAACTCTCTCCAGGTAAACATGACGGGGAGATTTATTTAAATATTAGGGGAAGTGCTGAAACTGTATGGGTCAGACAAGAAAAATTTTTGTTACGGGAGGCACTCAGCTTTGACCCAATATACATCTTTACATTTTACTGGCAGGCCTCCGCTTTACAGTGCTTCCTTTTACAGCGTTTCACTAATGCAGAGGTTTTCAATTAGTATACCCATTCTTCATTCATTCAGACATCCTACAATAAATATATTCACTAGTTACTATAAGCTTAGGACAAAAATATTTTAAGGTAAGTAATGTGTGTATTGTAAATGCATTTTTTAGACCTAGCTCTATTGCTCACTTAATATATGACAGTTTAAGCATGTTATCAATCTTTTATATGCATTTGAAAGTATAAAAAAAAAGTTGTATTTCACTGTACAGCAGTAGCCAGAAACTTAACCTGCTGTATATGCGAAACCCTGTATCACAGTAGCATTGATGGGGAGTAGGGGTGAGTGTATGCAGGTGTTGCTGGTGCCTTGGAAACAATAACAAACACAAGTTGCTGCTTCCAAGTGTCTGTCATCTCCATCACTGTTGAACTTTCAGAAAGGTCAAACACAAGCAGTGTCATGATTACTTACCTACATAATACTAAAGACTGCCTCAGACTTCCTGACATGGATCATAGTTCAGATTAAATTCTGGGAGAATCCACTGTGTGAAATCTTACTATCAGGATCCAGGGCATGTCTCTGGGAGGGGGTCATAGACCTTTGTGATGCCCCCTACCAAGATCCAGGGTACATCCCTGGGAAGGGTTATAAGATCCCTGTGATGCCTCACTGCCAGGATTCAGGGTACACCCCTGGGAAGGGTCATACAACCCTGTGAAGTCTCACTACCAGGATCCAGGGGACCTTCCCAGAGGGGTGCTAGGAGTCCTGGAGCTAGACCAAGGCAGAGGCTTCTAATCAAGTTTAAACAACAGGAAGAGATGCCTCCTATACCTCAGATACTTTTTTAATCAGAAAAGTCTTTAACCAACAGGGGTCATATAGCACTTTATTCCTTGGAGTAAGAGCCCTTCACCAGTATCAAGGTACCAGCCTTCCAGATGCTATTATTATTATTACAATCAAAACAAAGCACTAAACCCACAAGGGTTATATAGTGCTGCAGGAAGGTATGTGCTAAAGATGAAATATGTAAAGATCAGAGACCAGTGAGTGTTAGTAGTGTGCATGTTAGTAAGGTTAGTAAAGAGCGCTTTCACCATCACTCATACATAATCACTGTCTTTGCAGAGGTGCTCAGATACGACAGTTTAGATGTCCCTCCAAACTACCAATATCCCAAACCCCTTGTATTGTATTTCCCACCTCCAGGACTCAAGTCCGGCTAACCAGTTTCCCTGAATCCCTTCACAAAACATTACCCTGTTCACAGTCCAACAGCTTGTCAGGTCCCAAAAACCATTCATCTCCATTTACTCCTATCTAACACGTTCACACACACACTTCCTGGAAGTCCAAGCCCAGTGCCCACAAAACCTCCTTTACCCCCTCCCTCTAACTTTTCCTAGGAAGACCCCTATCCCACCTTCCTTCCATTATAGATTTGTGTGTTCTCCAAGTCATTCTACTTTGTTCCATTCTCTTTAAATGACCAAACCACCTCAACAACCCCTCTGACTAATACTTATAGTAGCTCCATACCTCTTCCTAATTTCCACACTACGAATTCTCTGCATAATATTTATACCACACGTTGCCCTTAGAAACGACATCACTGCCTCCTTTTTGCTGCTGCATTTACAATCCATGCGTCACACCCATATAAGAGTGTTGGTAC